ATTGGTTTCCCTTGGTATGCTGGCGTGCGTCAGTGCTTTATAAACAAAGTTCAGCAACATCAGCCAGGGACTCGTAGGCCATTTTCTTCAAAGTGTTTCTTTTTTTTTTTTTTTTAATTCGATAACCACATTTTGGTGTCATCTTTTATGTTTACGTTTTCGTGACTACCCTTTGAGAACAATAGGATCGTATTATGTTTTTAGACGAGAGAGACCAGAACGTGAGAGTAGAACTGTGTTATAGAGAGAGGGAGGGAAAGTTCATCCGAAAAAGAAAGCGAAGTTTCGGAACTCAGCGGACTCTTTAGTCTCATTTCCGACAATAGTTTTTAATCAATCATTTCGTATTTGTATCTCTGTCATCTCGGCGGGCTTGAATAAAAAATACCCCTTTAAGCGCGATATCTCAGGCCTACACATTTGCTTTCAGACCCACACTTTCCTTATTAAAGAGACGACTGAGAACGAACCTGGCACTACACGGCTTCCTTAATAGTTAGACAAGAGTGCGACAAGTGGAGGGTGAGGAAACTAAAACATGACTATCAACAGTAATAGCCTCTAACCTATTGAGCTTACCGCCTCCCGGTTAGCTCAATTGGTTAGAGCGCCGGATTGTGTTTTGCGGGAGGTCGAGGGTTCGTGCCCCGGACCAATACTGGTCTTAAAATAAGTGAGGAGAATCTACTACCTTCTATAATCAAGAAATGGATAGATGTTCTAGTCTTTTCAGATAAGGACGAATAAACCATAGGCCCCGTCTCCTGCAGGGTTAGGGGTAGAAGACGTTAATTTCCCACGCATCAGATTTTTGTATGGTGGATGTCCTCCCCTGTGGTGAGATGGGTGGGTGTTGGCCCTGAAAAGCCCCTATGGGGATTGTTCAATTAACCCATGTATGTATAATAATCCACTATGTGCTTCTGTGGCTTACTGCTTACTGCTAGTTTTAGAAGATCAGCCCATTTTAAAATGGTGATCAGCCTATTTAAACTAATTCCAAGTGTTAAGGAGACGGTGGACCCTCGAGGGACAATTTTTTTAGGTTGTTTTTTATTCAACTTACGCATTAGTCTTTTAACTATATTTTCCACAAAAATTTTAGTAAAATCTCGAAACCCACGCGAATTATTTACAAAAACGTATTTTCGAACTGAATTCTTTTGCGCGTCAAAGTGTGAATAGCTAATTATAACTTGTCAACACAAATGATTCCAGTAAAGTTTCTTACAGTAAAACATCTTGGTCATTGAATTTCATTCGCGTAAGCGAAAAATTAACATCTACTGGGTTCGGTTGTACGTGAAATCTTTGCTATCTCTCTGCGTTTAAAACTAGAATGTGACTGAATGGAGGAAGATAAAAAGGAGAAGAGTCCATAGTTTAAAGTAAAAAAGAAGCCTGGCTGTCAGCACCAAAAGTAAAGAAATTCGATGCGGAATGGCAAAAGAATCTCACCGAAACGGATAAAGGCTCGATCAAGAACCACTAAGTTTTGCCGTAGAGTACTTAAGCCGCTCTTG